AAAAAAAAAAAAAAAAAAAAAAAAGGCTCGACCCGGTCGTTATACAACGACTGCATCGAAACCATGGGACTGGTGAGGCAGGGTCCAGGGGCATTCGCGCTCAACTTACTGCTGGAGGATGTGGCGAGCAGGCATCCTCCGGATGCGTAGGCATCAACCGAGTATTGGTGGAGGAGTTGTCGGGCATAAGGGCTCGTTTTACTAACGATATTACTATGTCTATTTCCTTATACGAATGATGAACAGAAATCCAGCCACGTTTGGAGTGCGAAAGCTTGGAGTTTCTACCGCACGGATGCTTCCGTATTTTGGTAGACTCCATTTTACGCATGCAGCGAGAGGGCCTCGCTGCGGGTGGTATGTTTAGCCTAGAACGGGTTCAACCTTACGATCCCTTTGAGGGAGTGGTAGAGGTGTCGGAGAGGGTGAACCTGATGTCTCTGCGCTGAGGAAAGAAAGCAACAACACGACCGATCGTGTCGTTAAGCCATCAGCGAGATCTTATCTCGGCACAAGAGTAACCTCACTCTTGTAGCTGGGGGTATGAGTCTCTAGGACGCAGTTGAGGCATACGATTATGCCAACTGGCTAGCCAAAAATAGAGTTGGTACGGGAAACACACCCGAGGAGGGAACTAGTCCGCCCGAGCTGGTCAGTAGCGATCTATGTGAAGATGAAACTATGAGGGGAAAAGAAAGGAATTGTTCCCAAGGGCGGATGGGGTCGGGTTTGGTTATATTAAAAAATAATCAAAACTTTAAATGCCAGTCCTGCGCAATTACACTTGTGTGGGTTAGACTGTTTGGCTCTATGCGCCTCATTCAAAAATTGATTTTTAAAATTTAAAAAAAAAAAAAGTTTCATTAACCGTTCCACTAAGAGTTCCATTTCCATGGAACTCTTAGTGTTTAAATAAATGCTGTAATTGAAATATTAAAAACTATATTCCGTATATTAATACCCTATAGTTTTTAACTAATTAGTAATAATATCAAAAATTAGTAGCGATAGAAAAAATTTAATTGTAGTTTTATAATCATAAAAAATTGATCAATAAATATATATATTTGACTCTGATAAAAATTCCATGTAGACCATTTATTCATAATTAACAACAAATTTTTTTTCTAAAAATTTTGAATCGATCAATCTAATTTTTATACACGTTTACCACCAAAGAAATAACACTTTATAATTTCTGCCGATTGGTTCAATTAGATTAAAAATGGGTTCTTTTGACATGCTAATTATTAAAATCAGTCTAGTTGAGTATTTTTACTGACATAAATAAACACAATATATCCAAACCAATACATTGTCAACTTCGTATCGAAGCTAAAATATTAATTATGATTGTTTTATAATAACTGTAATTTTTTGGAACATTTCATTTCATTACTGGACTGAGTGATATTTTTCAAAATATGGCGCTATAAGCTTTAACTACGTTTTGTGATTTATGTCATTGAACTAAATCATTACAGTAAAAGAGAAGTTTATTACTAGACTGATTTAGCTCGTTAAACGAAGGAAATTATAAAAAAAAACACTGCACAGTAAAACCAAAAGTTTTCAGATAAGCATTGGAACTAACATTATAAAATAATAATAATTATGATTATTTAAAAAACAGATTACCATGTAAATTTTCTTGGTTATTATTTATATAAAAATCTTCTTCTCTACATATTTTGCTGTCTTTAAAATCTTTAATATTGTCTGAAGAGTCAGAAAAACTTTCTTGAGGCTATGCCAATGTTATAATCATTTTAGATTACTATTGTTACATAATCTCTAATACATATCAGAATTTCGATAAATTTTAAATTCTAACAAGTTTTATTATTTGAAACTAATAAAAATTTTAAGTTATGAAAGAATATACTAATAAGAAATGTCCTTACATCTTTTGTGACTATGTATGGAATTAATTTTATACCGTTGTTACTTAACAACAATTGTTTTAAGTTATGTAAAGTTGACAGAAGGTATATTGACCTAGAATTAATTATGTTATTATCACTTAAATCAAGTTGACAAAGTGATAAAAATGAAGAATCTTCCTTTATATTTTCAGGAATGGTGCATAATCTATTTGATCTGACTTCCAAAGATTGTAATTTAGATTTGGAAAGTATAGTTAGGTCTTCAGGTTTTAAAAAATTATTCGAAACATCCAAATGAATCAATAAATCAGAAATACTAAAAAAGTCATTAACTTTCCTTAAAATAATTATTATTATAATTTAAATAAATTATAATGCAAATAAATTATAATGCAAAAAAAATGTTCCATAGTGCCGTTTTTTAATGAGGATTATTTTTACATATTTAATTAATGAAACTACTTTCTAAATATTGTTGCTAACTATTTGGCACTGAAGACTCTTCTTGCATAAAAAGAATCATTTAGTACTACACTAACGGCTCAACTGATTTTAGTTCATTATTGCGCAAACTTAAAGATTCTAATGACTTGAATGTTTGCATAGTTTTAAGATTTAGTTGATTATGATTAGCTACAACTTTTACAATATTATCGAATTCTTCAAAACTTTGACCATCTACATGAACATATCCATAATTAGTAACATCCAAAATGGTCAAATAAGCAGGATTGTGGTTAACAAAAATATTTTCTGTTGTGAATTCTTCTATTTGAGTTGTTTTGTAAATAATTCCATTTAACATGCGTCTTCTATACAACTTTTTTTTTTTTTTTTAATTTTGGATTAGTAACTTTTTCATTATAAAACTAAAAAGTTTGTGGAAATAATAGTATAATTTCATTTATATAAAGATATACAGTGATCGGTTTATCATAAACTACTCGTTTACTCGCAAAATAAATATAATATTAAAAAAAAAAAATTGTATTCTTTTAGTTGCACATATAGCGGCGCCAACTTTTTTTTAATGACAACATACATATTTAACTATATTATAAAATAGGAAATATCTAATTAAGAAAATGACTCTATAATAACTTTTAATTCTCAAAATGCTATCTATAAATATATGTAATATTCTTTCATTACTTAATTAAATTCATACATCTCATCAACGATTACCAATAACATACCGACGCCCTCAGGCGTGTAATACTTTAATATTGTTTACATAATCCTTACCGAATAAGCCACAATTAAGCTCATACACGTATGGATTAGCAATATACAACACATTACTTGTCATTGTCTGTTTACATATCCTAAACAAACAATGATATAATACAAATCACATCTCGTAACGCGTTGTAAAGGACACATTTCTTTTTAATTAAATAACTTATGTCATCACATAAAATTTTATTACCATGAATCATTGTAACAGACCTAAGAGCCCTCTGGGATCTGATCAATCATTTGGCAACCGTCATAGAGTCACTTCTATTTTTTCTCCTCTGGCGTTCAGACTTAAGTGCTCGGCTTTGCTCCTCTTTACTTTGCAGCTTTTTATCTATTTATAATGTGATGTGGTGTCTTAACTATTACTATAGTTCAACAGTTTAACTTAATATGATTAAATGTTAGAATAATTATTTAAATCAATTACAATATATATAGTTATATAACATACTATTTTTCTTCTTATTTAACATCTAATAAAATCACTTCTTCTCCTCTCTACACCGTGTAACTTGATTTGCAGTCAAGATATAACAGGTAAGAATAGTTTAAACACACTACAATTAATAGTAATAACTAATAAAAACACATTAAGTGATAATTAATTAGTTTTCTTCTTTCGCTTAATATTATCTTCATACTAACATCACACATTTTATATATCCTTCTATTAACTTACTTACACTGCCTATTTTCTTCTCTTTTTATTGGTTATTACATATATTTAATAATGACTGCAATATAAAGTTGAGTGAAATAAAATTTCCAGCTTAATCTTTTTTAAAACTCAACTTTCCAATGTATATTAAAAGTAAAACTAAATGTAAAAACTTCAAATTTTACACAAATTATTGCAGGATACTGTCATTGTAAGATAATGGAGTTAAAGAAAATAATGTTATATTTCTTTTTAAGAAACTTAAAAAAGCTCATATTTTTGAACTTTCGCAAATCTATAAAAAAAAGCTCAATTCCTTTTATGACTTTTAGTATGTCATATTACATATCTCAATTCAACTTAAAAAAAAAATTTGGTTGGAGTAGGGTAAAAATGAGGATTCTATGCCCTATCCGCTTCACCCAACCATCAAACCTAAAGTATGTCGGTGAAGAGATGTGGAGGAGGTAAATCCAACGTAAACTAACATAATGCAATGTGAGGGGGAACGACGAAACCCAACGTAAACTAACCTAAGGCAGGTAAAGAACATATCCACCACCACCAAGTGGAGTAAGAGTGGTGTAATGAAACTTAAGGTAAACAAACCTATAGGTGGGGGGATGAAACGTAAACTAACACAACTTGTTGCGCGCCTAAATTATGTGGAAAAAAAATGCATTTTCCAGGTAAGCTATACGGTTACGGTGAAAAGTACGAATTTTAAACGTCAAATCTATTTTGATTTGCGACATGCATATATTTAGATAAAGTCTGTACGGAAAATCTTAATTTTACCTAATTTGTAAAAAAAATTAGTTCGAAACATTGTGTGTCAGATGGCTGTATTGATGATTACGCTATAGCACTTGAGATTAATATAGCAGATGGCTCAACGCGGCGGCGGCGATGTTGTCGTCAATTACATTAACTGTTAATAAGCTTGACCGTTATTCGTATAGTGAATAATAAATATAGCAAAATACATTCTTAAATAAACACTACTACTGCCGTCATCGTCGACGACGATAATCACTGAAATATATATATTATAATGTTTATATTATTATTGTAATCTGTATATACTTATCGATTAATGTCGTATTGATGATGTGCGCAGGCATGGGGAGAAAGTGGTATGTGACTTGTGCTGCACGGAATTCAAGGATTCCAACCCCAAATCGCCTATTGAGCCGATTCAGACAGACGTTGTGCAATGCGTGTAAATTGAAAGTGAAGACGTTCAACTTTGTGCCGTGCTTTTTGCACAATCTTTCGGGTAACGACGCGCATTTCACCGTCACTGAATTGGGTTACAATGATCAAAAGATTTCGCTCATATCGAATTCTGAGGAGAAGTATATTTCGGTCACGAAACACGTGACCAATAACTTATCCATACGGTTTGTCGACACATCCCGGTTCGTGGCCTCCTCCCTGTCCACCTTGGCCGGTAACCTAATGACACCCGATTTCGTTAAATTCCGGTAGAGAGCCAAAATGTTCCGCTCCGAAGATATGCCGTTGGTGACGTGTAAGGGCGTATACCCCTACGAGTACACTGATAGTTGGATTAAATTGGACGAAACGGAACTACCGCCTCATGACGCTTTCTATAGTCAGTTGAATGAGTCAAATGTCGATGACGACGACTAGTCACGCCACGGAGGTGTGGAACCGTTTCGACTGCTCAACCCTCGGTGAGTACAGCGACCTATATCTTAAGATCGACGTGTTGTTGTTGGCTGACGTGTTTGAGAACTTTCGCGACATATGTACTTCAACATACAATTTGGACCTGGCGAACTATTACACAGCGCCTGGTTTTAGTTTCGATTATATGTTGAAGTACACCAGGGTGAAGCTGGAGCTCTTAAACGACTACGATATGCTACTGATGGTGGAACATGGCATTCGTAAAGCAATTTAAGAACGTTAAAAATGATTACAGGCAATAACCTGTACGGTTAGGTTATGAGTCAGTCCATGCCGTACGGTGGCTTCCAGTGGTATGAAGGAGCAGATCCTCTGATCGACCTGCAATTGCTTTCGGACACTGGTAATACGGGTCTTATATATGAAGTGGACGTATCGTATCCAAAAGAGCTGCATGATAAGCACAACGACTTGCCGTTCTTGACCGGCAACAATGTACCATCGGGTTCCAAAGAAACCATTTATTCGATAAATATTTACATCTTATAAGGAAAACCATTGAGAATATTCGGAAACGCATCCGCATTGAACTAATCTCTAGTCTAAGCAAGCTCGTAAACCAACCAACCTTCAACGACTGTATCAAATACGGCGAAAGCTTTTGCACCGTCATAATGGACACAAAGATTGTCAAGTTTATCAAACCAATATACGTCGGTTTAGCAGTGCTTGACATTAGCAAGTCGCTAATGTACAAGTACTTCTACGACGTATTAAAACCTCATTATGGCGACGCAATCAGCCTGGTTTACATGGATACTGGTGAGTACAACTGTACAGTAGAAATATTTTTACAATATTTATATATTTTTAATTTTTCTCAGATTCCTTCATATACGTTCTCAGAGTCAGAGACTTCTACCAGGATAGAGCTGATAGTCCCGATTTACTGGTGCACGTTTACGCATCTAGCCTGCACAAAGATCACTCTTGATTCTCGACCACGAGGAAGAAGACGTCTGGTCTGTTTTCAGACGAGACCGGAGGCCTCACCCTCTTTGAGATCGCTGCACTTCGTTCAAAGTGCTATGCTTTTGACATGGAAGGCAGCGAACTCATCAAGTCTAAGGAGATCCGCAGACACGCCGTCCGGAACCATCTGTCTTTGGACGATTACAAACGATGTTTGTTTGAAGACGATGGTGACGATGCGTCAAAACGAGCGTTGGCCGGAGAGAATGGCCGTGTAGTTATCAGAGCCATACGTGATGGTGAGATTCCACCGACATTGTCACTACCGTACACTCCGTACCGACAGAACGTGTCAATTCGTTCTTTCGAGCACGAATATTCTAATATTTTAGAAATATACCTTTGAAATATTGTGAGAATGTAATATTCGCTGCCAAATTATATTCTGAGAACATAGTGAGAATATTACAAAATATTAGCAGTGCTTGACATTAGCAAGTCGCTAATGTACAAGTACTTCTACGACGTATTAAAACCTCATTATGGTAACGCAATCAGCCTGGTTTACATGGATACTGGTGAGTACAACCGTACAGTAGAAATATTTTTACAATATTTATATATTTTTAATTTTTCTCAGATTCCTTCATATACGTTCAACAGTTGCTCATATGTGCTAGTTTTGTTAACATTATTTTCTTTTAACCACTGAATAAATAATTTATCTGATTGATACATTCTTTCACCTATGTATCATACCTACTTTGTTAATCGATTTAGTGTGCTCTATGTCTGAATAACTAAGTTAAGACCTGTATTCTGTTGCTGTTTTACTTGGCTATTGGTACGTAATCACAATTAATTTTCTACACTTATCACTTCAACAATCTCAGCGCTGTCCTATCAGCTGTTTTTTTGGAGACTTAAACGATAGTATACAAAGTAGCTTTGATCTCATCAGATTACCAAGCCATTTTCGATTTGTTTTTATTTGTCCGGAAACTTCAACGCTGGGCTCATTCATAACTGTAAGCACATTTTCCATATCAACTCTTTACCATGCCGCCTAAATTAGATACTCCAATCAAGCCTTCTCAGAAAAACAAGGTTCCCCGTTCTGACTTATGTGGAAAATCAGAAACAGTTTCTAATGAAGATCTTATGGTTACTTTAAATGCGTTCAAGGTTGATATTTTATCTTCGACCCAGGCGCAATACAAAGATTTAAAAAATAACTTATTGAATGTATCCAACCAAATACTTGAATTAAAAGCTGA